AACTTCTAAAGGATATTCATTCTTTTGTTTGTTTTTGTATCTTGTTCTTTATTTACACCGTTTACTTAAAGTAACTTTATATTTTATTCTTTTTTAATATCAAATTTTGTTTGTAACAATTAACAAACATAACAAATTACTTATTATTTTTTACTTTTAAAATAAGAGAATGAAATTGTTTTAACAAAAGTCTATTCTTCCTCAATTTCTATTGTTCCTACATAAATTAGTTGTAATCAAATAAGACAATTGTCTTTCGTCTTTTTAACATTTTGGTTTTTAATTGAAAATAATTATTAACTAACCATTTTAATTATCATTTCTCCTCCATAAAACAACTTTTTTGTCATAAAAACTACATGCAAGAATATCATTTCCAAGGGCATCAGCTCCATATACCATACTGTCGTGTGGCTCATATTTTTGAAATGTTTTTTCAAAAAGCCCATTTGAAGTTTGACAAAATTCAACAACACCTCCACAAGCACCAGCAACAATAATTCTATTTCCTTGGTCGCTCATTCTCCATCCTGCCCCACCATCAATATGACCTTCCCATAAAGGCTTTTTCCAATTTCTAATATCAAATTCTTTTACAGAACCATCATAACTTCCAGCTAAGAAGTTTGTTTGATTTCTCCAAATTAAATCAGTAACCCCTGCATCAAATCGAATTTTAAATATCATATCATCATCTATCCAGGCTTTACAATATGTATCATCACTTCCTGAAAGTAATGTTTTTCCATCAATATTCATTGCAACAGTCCATACTTCAGCGTCATGACACTTTACTTCTTTAACTGGTTTCCATCTACCATTTCTAAATAATCTCCAATACGATATATAACCATCATTTCTTGATGCAACTAATGTCTCACCACCAACAGAAGTTGACAATACTTCACATTCTTCTGGTATTATTGCACAATTTACTTCTTTTAATTCATCATTTGGAGTAAAAAATAATACTTTTGCATTTGCTGTACATGCAGTAATAAACTTTGTATCACCAACAACTACTGTTCCTAAATTATGTATTGCAGGAGTTCTGTTGTTGGTTAATAATTCTAATTGATTTGTTTCTCTATTTACTTTATAAGAGCAAATTGAGCCAGTTTTTCTTTCATTATATAAATGATAATAACTAATTATAACATGGTCTTCTTTATAAGTATAAATTCCATCAGGTTCAGTTTCAGTGTTTAAAACGATAGTAGGAGAATATTTATCCATTACTTAACTAGACAGTTCAAGTAATATAAAAAAAAGAAGAGGAAAAACAAAGAAACAAAAGAAAAAAAAAATAGGGTTTAAAAAAATTAAAAAGTAAAAGAATTTGCTTTTTCTCATGGACGTTTCTCAACAACATTTGGCTCTTGTTATTCAATTTCTTGAACAAACAGTTTCTTTACAAAACCAAACACAAAACACACAATTAATGAGTGTTTATAATGAAATAATTCAATATAATGATTATATTCCTTGTTTATTACAAATAATTGCAACACCTCAATACAAACCTTTACAACAAATTGCATGTATTTTTTTAAGACAATCAATTTCACACACTAATATGGATGTATCAACAATTACTGGAAGTATTTTACCTTTATTAGTTGAACGTTCAGTTAGACCAACAGCTGCAAATTTATTGTGTAGTTGTTATACTAAAGCTAATGTACAGTATAAATATCAATTACTTCAAAAACTTATTTCAGTATTAAATGAATGTAATGATGTTCCATCTATTCAAGGGTCTTTAGCTACATTATATATGATTTTAGAAGATGATATTGGGATTGGTACAAGAAAAGAATTAGAACAAATACTTCCTTTAATTTATCAAGCTATTATGAATAAACTAAATCATCCAAATGATGAAATCCGTGAAAGTGCTATGGAAGCACTTGCTGTTTCTGTTTTTAATTTATATGATTCAGATACATTTATTCCAACAGTAATTCAAAGGTATAATGATTCTTCAGCAAAAGTAAGACTTATTTTATGTCAAATTATTACTTCAATTACAAATGCTTTTCCTGATGTATTAAAGAAATTTATTAGTCAAGTTATTCATGTTCTTGTTGCATTAACAAATGACCCAAATGAAAGTGTGAGGATTCATGCATGTGGGGTATGGGGAGAATTATGTAGTGTTTATTGTAATGAAATTAAACAAGTTCTTCCTTCATTACTTCAATTATTACTTCCACATACTGTATTAACAGATAGGGAAATAGGTGATATTGGAAATGAAGCTGATGATTGTTTAGATGGTGATGGAGCAATGACTGAGAGAAAGCAAATTGGAGTTTCATTAGATCAGATGTCTATTTGTTATGGAAATGAACTAATTGGATTATTATTACCATTTTTATCTGAACAATTAAAATCAACAGAATGGAAATATAAAGAAGCAGCAATTTTTGTATTTGGATGTATTATTTGTAAAGGATGGAATCCAAATAATCAACAATTTAATCAACAAGTTAAAACAGTATTTATACAAATATTAGATAAAATGGATAATAGTCCATTAATTCAATATGTTATTATGTGGGTTATTCAAAGAGTTGGATCAAATATTGGATTTATATTAACTTTAGATGAAATAAATAAAGTCTATGAAGGAGTTATTCATTTAATAAAAGAAGGAGTACCAAGAGTAAAATATCAATCATTATCAGTATTAAGTGTATTTCTTGATTTAGAATTACCATTTATTCAACAACAACATGCAACAATATTAAATTTAATGTTAGAACATATTGAACCACCAGTATTTGTAGGAGGAAGAGTTATTGATTTAATATCACAATTAGTAGATGTAGCTCCAGAACTTTTTGAATTAAATTCAGTATTATTAAAAAGAGTAATTTCTCAATATATTCAATATGCTAGTGCTTTTCCTAATTCACCACAATTAATGGAAAGTGTTGTTTATAACCTTTCATATATTTTACCAAGATTTGGAGATGTTGGTATTCCAGTTACTGTTTCAATGAAAGATTTTGCTATTAATTTACTGAATGCAAGTGAAGGAGATCTTGAAATGCAATCAAGTTGTTTACTTTTATTATCTTCTTGTTTAGCAGTAAACCCAACATTATCTGAAAAAATATTACAAATGGTAGCACCATCATTACCAAAATATCTTCATTATTTAAAAGACTGTATGACAATAGCGTCATACGGATTACTTGGGGATTTAATAACATATTCTACAAATGAAATTAAACCAATAATGGGAAATGTAATGAATAGTTTATTATTTGTTTTAGAAAATGGACATCCATCTATTTTATCAAATGTATTATGGTCTTTAGGTATTATTATACAAAGATATACAAATGATATGCAAAGTTATTTTAATTCTATTTATCAACGTTTATTATATCTTCTTCAGAATAATTTATCTGATTTTAAATTAAATACAAAAAGAAATATGTTAATTTGTTTTGCTAGAATTGGTGAAGAACTTCCTGATTTAGTTGCACCAATAATTGGAAATATTTGTTCTCAATTACTTAGTAGTGTGAATGGGCTAAGTGATAATGAAGCATTATGTACAGTTATATTAGGAGTTGGAAGACTAATTTGTTATAATCCTAAAGTTTGTGAATCTAGTTTAAATGTAATTCTTCAAATCTTTCAACATTCATTTGTTAAATATGAAGCATTATATGAAATGTGTGATGCTGTTATTATGACTTTAAAACAAACATTTAATACCCCTCAATATTCTGTTATATGGCAAAATTATTCACAATGAATTGATTCTTTTGATTGAAATTTTTTTTTAATTTAATAAAATTCTTAAATAAATTAATACAAAACTCTTAAAAAAAAGAATTTCTCTTATGAGAAGAACAAATCAAAAAGCAACTCGTGGAAATCTTTTACTAAAGATGGCTAATGAAGTTTGTTTAATAAAGAATTAATTAGACATTACTTATTCTAACATTCATCTTAATAGTTACAATTAAATAATGAGAAATTAACAACTCATCCAATTGAAATTATCCCTTGTAAGTCTATAAAAAAAGAACAACTACAAATGTGTTTTGAGCTTGTCAAAGAAAATATGTTTTCTTTAGACTCAGTATCTTCTTTAGGATGGAATGACCATGATAAAATGGAAGAAATGAAACAAGGAAATGGATTTTATATTCTTTTTAAAGAAGGATTTGTTTGTATTAGGTTTGAGTTATTTGGGAATGGAATTCAGTGTTATTTATGGGAAATTCAAATAAAGAAAGAATATAGAAGACAAGGGATTGGAAAAGAAATGATGAATGTTATTGAAATAATATCAAAGAAAGCTCATTGCAGTGAAATTAGTTTATTAGTTTTAAAAAGTAATATTGAAGGTAAAGCATTTTATGATAAATTAAATTTTGAAGTAAAAAAACAAGATTCAAAAGACCAAGACTATTGGATTATGAGAAAAAAATTAAATTAAGCTAAATAAACAATCATTGAGCTATTATTTTCATTTCTTTTTAAATACTCTTTTTGAATTAAATACTCAATTGATTTTTTAATCATTAATATTGTTGGGGTAAATGAATTTGAAACTTCAATAACAACTTCATTTATTAAATTTGATATAAGTTTTTGTCTTTCTCTTTTCATTATTTTAATAATTGAACATTGTAGCTGAATTGATCGTTTTTGTTCTACATCTTCATTAATGTCAAGTAATTTCATTTGAGGTGTAGTTTTAATAAGTTTAGTAATATTAGTAACAGTATGTTGTGGTTGATAATTATTATTTATTTTATAAGTATCTTCTGTTTTAATAAGTATTCCATGAGCAACAAGATTATCACATACTTGTAATAAAAAAGTTCTATTTTCAATTGACTTTGATAATTCTTCAATACAACATTCATATTTTGAATGAAAATGATATAATATACAATATTGAATAGTTGTACAATATAATAAAGTTTTATTATTAAAACTAAATGATACTACACATAATGAATGTTCTGGTTGAATACTAATTCTTCTACTTGGAAATTTTTCTAAATAAAATTGTTTAAATGGTTGGAAAATAGTATCTAATGAAGGAGGTAAATGAACAATAGAATTGATTTCATGTTGAGGTAATCCAAATACAATAACATCAAATTTTATTTTCTGTTCAACACTTAACTTATTCTTTTCTTTAAATTGTTTAACTAATTCTAATGAAGTGATATAGTCTTGGATAAGACTTGATATTCTTGAAATGGTAGAATTTCCAAAATATTGTTTAAGATAATTAACAAAAACATTTATTGTATCAATACTTTTTATTTTTCCTGAAACAATTTTTCCATAGAGAGTTTTCCAGAATAAACTTTCAAAAATATCTCTAGAAGGAAGAAGAATAAGTGATTTCATAAATTGAATAATTTTTGTTTCATTAAAATTATCTATAATTTGAAAAGCATATTTAGTCATTATAACATGAATAGTATCACCATTTTTAAGAAGACAATCAGAAGAAGCAATACCTTCTTTTAATCCACTTATAATAGACTCTCCATAAATACTATCAGATTGAATCTCATCAAATATCATTATTGTTTCACATACTTTTTCTGCATTAAATTCTTTAAAGCAATCAAATAATTTTTTAATATATTGTTTACTTCCACTATTACAAAGAGACTTAAAACTATTAATAATATCTTCTTTCAATGAAACTAGATGTAATAGTTGAAGACTCTGCTTTATTCCATGAATGTCAGAATGTTCAAAATATTTCTTTAATCCACAAATGACTTCTTCAATAAATACAAATTTGTTATTCATTTCTTTTCTTAATGTAACTTCATCTTCCTTTAATAGTGTTTGTAATACTTTATTTTCTTTTTTCATTAACTCATTAATTTTCTTAATATATTCACCACTTTGTCTTGCTTCATTAAAATCATTGTTAAAATCATTTCTTATATATTCATTTAACTTCTCTCTAACTTTTTCTCCAAATTGCCAACTTATTACTTCTTTTAAAAAATAAATTAATTCTCCAATAGCAGATGGATAACTTTTGTCTTTTTCTTTAATCTCTTTTAATTGCTTTTTTAACCATTCAATAATATCTGTTTTCTCTAGTTCTTTAATAACACTCTCTCCCCAACATTTCTTTAATTCTTTTTCAAATGAAATACCAACTCTTAATCTTCTTTGATCTGATAATATACAAAACATTCCTTTAATATTATCTTGTGCTTGTTCAAATTGTTTTTTAACATCTTTAATCCATGCAATTAATTCATGAATATGTTCTCCTTTTAAATAAAAAGGTTCAATGAGTTTTTTAACTGTTTTACTAACATCTGAAATAATAAGATTAATTAATCTTGCCTTTTCTTCTGGATTTGATATAATATATTCACTAAATTGAAAATTTATTTCTACAACTTCTTGTAATTTCATTTTTCTTTCAAACGCTAATGAAACACCTTTTTGTGCTATTTCTTCAATGTTCATTTTCTTTTTAATGAATTATAATTTCTAAGTTAAAGATTGTTTTTTATTAACAAAATAACCCTTTTGAAGTATAATTTATTTCTTTATAATTTTGTTTTATATTACATTACAAAAAAAAATTACCAAAAAAAAATAGAATATTCATAATGTTGGTTGATGTGTTATATTTTCAGAAGTTAGCAGAACAAATCAATTCATCTTCTGTCAACTCCTTTAAAAAATGCAAATTTCTTTTTGATTAATAAAATCATAAAAAATTAAACAGAAAAAAGAAACTTTAAAAAAAAAAGGTGAAGAGATAATTAAAACAAATGACAACAAAATTGGATTTTAACATGTTTTTAACACCAAAAGTTTATATATCATTAGCTGTTATAGTTTCAGTGATTATAATATTGTTTATTGCAATATTTGTATTTCAGTGTTATCATAGAAATTGTTTTATAACATTAAAAGAAATACTCATTGAAAGTGATTATTCAATGCAACAAATTAATGTTTTATCTTATAATCTTTGTATGAGAGCACCTTTAATTTCAAATGAAGGAGATGATTTTAAGAATGTTAGATTAGATTTATTTATTAAAAATGTATTAGAACATTTTGACATTATTTTTTTACAAGACGTTATTGGGGCATATTCAGCTAGAAGAGCACATTTAATAGAAGTTTGTTTATATAAAATTTATTATTAAATAACACTCATTAGAAAATAGTGTGCATATGAAAAAGGATTAACACATTCATTAGTAAGTTTAACTCCAATATTACCTTGTTTTATTTGTGATGGAGGATTACTTATATTAAGTAGAATTCCTTTAAAAGATAGAGATCAATATATCTTTAAATCAAGGATATATCCCGAGTCAATTTTATCTCGAGGTATTTTATATTCAAAAATTCAACCAAATGAATCAACAACATTACATATATTTAATACTCAATTACAATCAATTTCTAATAATCCCCTTGTTAATCAAGTACGTCTGAATCAATTAGATGAATTAGTTAAATTTATTTTATCAAAAACTAGTAAAGATGAATATCCTATTCTAATTTGTGGAGATTTTAGTATTAATGCATTAGCTAAAGCAGAAACAATTATTGATGAAACATTTTGGGAAAGTGGTGAAACTGAAGAAAGTGAAATGAAAGATTCGATTAAATATATTGAAGAACAAACTGATGAGTATGTACAGTTAATAGACAAATTATCAGATATTGGGATTGTTAAAGATATTATTTATAATGGTCTTCATCGTCATCCAATTACTACAGGAGATACATATTTTGATAATAATAAAGAACTTCCATTAGAAACGGTATTAACAAAGAAAGAGGACCAGTTATCTAAACGATGTGAAGATTATATATTTCTTATTATAAGGTCAAAAGAACTAGAAATAGTAAATCCATATATTCATACATATGATGTAAATAATGATAATTTTAATTTTTTATCATCACATTATGGATTAAGTTGTGTTATTAATTGTTAAGCCATATTGAAATTGAAATATAATAATTAAATTTAAAGAAGTAATTCAATTTGTTTTAAAGAGTAATTGGTTGTTTTTGTATTAATCTAACAATATTACCAGATATTGTATAAATCCAAATAGAATGATTAGTTATAAATAATGAACATATTTTTTCATTTATTAATACTTCTTCATTTGAACTCCACTGAGATAAATTATATGAATTATGAAAAGTAATTAAATCATCAGAAATACAACAAATATTTGAACTATTAAATAAAGGAAGAATAAAATCACATGTTTCTTCAATTTCAGATAATAATTTACCTTTTAATGAATAACAAAGTAAATTAGTTGTTGTTACAATAAATAGTTTATTATCACAAAATGTTAAATCATTAATTTGATTGTCAACATTAAATTTTAAAACTATTTTCATTGAACTTAATCTAGTAAGCGTAATAATACCTTTTTTACATATAGTAGCAAGTAAATCATTATGAATATCATATTTACTTAATATTATTTCTCCTTCATGACTTGTAATAATTTTAATTTTACCTAAAGATAAAGGAGTTTTAGAATTAATTTTAGTAATAAACAAAGAAGAATCTTTTGATCCAGTAATTAAATAATCATATTTTTTATTTCTTATAATAGACAAATAACTTATTGTATTTAAATGTAATTTTAAACACAACACTTCTTTTCCATTATCAATTTGATATACATGAATATTATTATCTTCTTTTGATGCAATAAATAAATATTTACCATCTGAAGTAAAACAACATTTATTTCTTTCAATATGAATATAATTTGGTTTATTAATTTGTATATTTCCATTTATTTTAAGATGATTATTAGTATCTATACTTATTTTAAATATTCCTTTATCTCCAATTACCATTATATCATCATTGTTTATTTGAATACTTTCAATGATTTTACCAATATCTAATTTATCAATTATTTGATTTATTGTATTTGATTGAATAAACATTCTTGGTGGATGTGGTTTATTAAATAATTGAACTGGAACTTGTCCACCAAACATATGTCTTTGTAAAAATAATTCTAATTCATTTTTGTCCATTTGATTTGGATCATAATTATCTTCATATGCAGTTGGATAATATAAATTTTTAGCATTTAATGCTTCATTTCCAGTAGATTTATATCCAAAAATAAGATCAATCCATTGATGAAGATGTGAACTAACATATGGTGATTCTAATGCCAATCTATGTAATGAAATAAATTCTTCAGGAGTTTTTGCCCATTGAGGTAAAGAGACATCATCTACTTGTTGTTTTGTATCAGGTAAAATACCAAAATTAAAATGATTTTCATTTATTAAAAATTCTGGTAAATAATAAAATTCTGGAATTAATTCAATATTACATTGAGTACTTGACATACATGTTTTCCAAGAATGTTCAATTGAATAAAACATTCTTTCAGGTCTATCAAAATGACCATTATTCATTTTAATAAACATAGTTGTATAAGGTTCACATCTAATTAAAAAGAAAAAAACATAATCACAAGCAGAATAAAATGTAGTATAATAATAAGGTATTTGATCTTTTTGAATACCATTTTCACCAAATAATTGATTAAATTTTTCTTGATCAACTTTAAAACGTTCAGGATTAATACAAGGAATTGGTAATGAAAGATCTCTATAAATATTTTCATCATTTAAATTTAATGATGTAGATTTATAATCTTTTAAAATCCATGGAAATATTGGGTATTGAGTTAAATCATGATAAGATCTACTTGAATATCTATTTAATAACATTAAATATTCAAAATTACTTATTTCTCCATTTTGCCATTTTTTTAATGATTGTTGAATTAAATTATTTAAATTAAATTCATTTAATCCACTAATTTTTCTTAATAAAGCAAAGACTTTAATCATATTTTTTTTATTATTAAATATAATATACATTGATTTTCCATTCATAAAAAATATTTCTATTCCTTCATATTTCATTAAATATCTTCTTGGAAGTATTTCTTCAATATTATTAATATTATATTTTTTAATAATTGGTTTAGTCGTAGTATTATTGTTATTATTATTTTCATTAAATATTAATATATTATCAATTACTTTAATCATTCCATTTAATGTCCATGGTTTTTGAAAATCTTTTATTTTCATAAATGCTTTTTCAGTAATTAATTCACAATTCATTTCAAATATAATTTGTTGTGAATAATTAATTTCTTCTTTATCACAATATTGTTCAATAAATACATTATGTGAATTCATTTTTTTAATTATAAATGATTCATTATCCATTTCTATTTCTTTATCTTTTCTTTCACTAGAATAAACAAGTGCTTCTTTATGTAAATCAATCATTTCATTTCCTTTAAAATTTCCTTTCATTCCATCAATTTCAATTGATTCAATTTGCCAATATTTTGGTATTCCATTTATTTCATTCATCATTTTTCCATCAAATTTTTTATATTTTCTATCTAATAATTCTATTTCTTTATTTAATTTTTCTTTTAATTCTTCAATTCTTTTTTCTTCACAATTATTTCTAACTTCATTACCAATAAATCCACAAAGAAGATTTTCTTTATTTTCTTTTTTCTTTCCAACAATTAAATTAATTTCATCATTACAAATAGCATGATACTCTTCATCATCTAATAAAATATTTGATGCATACCCACTAAGAATTCTTCTTACTTTTGAAAATATAACTCCATTAATAATTTCTTCTAAATGATTACTTTTTCCATTTATTAATAAATCAATCATTTCTTCTCTTTCATTTTCAGAACCATTTTGATAATTTTTAATTTCTTTAATTAAATCATCATTAAATATTTTACTAATATTTAAAAATAATTGTACTAATCTTTCTCTAACATCTAATACTTTTGTTATCATAATTCTATCCATACAATATACTCCATACATAGCAAGTACTTCTTTTTTATTATCTTTTAATTGAATTATTTCATTAGTATTTTCAGTTACTTGAATTGCACGAATAATTCTCATTTTTCTTAAAGCTTTTTTAACGTAAGAATTATCTTTATATTTTTCAAAAAATGGAATAAGACTTTCAATAGTAAATACTCTAGGAGTGTCTGTTTGAAGAAGTTTTGTTAAAAATAAATTAGTACACATTACTAATGCTTTTAATCCCTTTTCACTTTTTTTTTCTTCTAATGCTTTACTTATATTAAATAATAAATCTGGTAATAATGCATATTCTCCTGAACATTCATCAACTTTAATAAATAATAAATAAAGTTTTGATATATTTTCATAATTTCTTAATGACTCATTTGTTAAACTTCTTTTTAATAATAATCCAATTGTTCTTAATCTTTTAAAATCACCTTTAATTCCATTAATTAATGATTCTACTATTTTAAAATTTATTTCTTTTCCATTACAAATTTGAATTAAATTTTTTGGTTGTGAAATCCAAAAAATTGTTAATTTATCAGCAACTTCATTTGTAGAATATTGAAAGATATTTAAATATATTTCTTGAATATTAATTAATTCTGTTATTTTAATTGGATAATTTTGAAATACTCTTAATTCTTCTAATGTAAAAATACCTTCAATTGAAATAGCCAATTGAATTGTTTGTGAAATATTTTGAAAATATGGAAATTTAGAATCAACAAATTCCAAAAATTTACCAATACATTCAAATATTAATGCTTTAATTGTATATTTAAATTTAAATAAAAGATTAAGTAATTCTTGACATAAATAAGAAATAAATATTTCAATCCATTTAGATGAATAATTTATTGATTTTAATAAAATTATAAATCCTTCAATAAAAATATTATCATTTTTAATAATATTTAAAGTACTAATAAATGGTTGTAATGTTTGTTTATTTGGTTGAATACAATCTCCCATAGATTTCCAAATAAAATTTCTTAATTCATTTATTTCATTTATTGATAATTTTCTTATCATTTTTGTATGAAGTTTTAAATTAGATGGAAATTCTGGTTGAAAATATAATATTAATAAATCTGATAAATATTGCATATATCTATTACTTCCTTTCATTAATTGAACTACTTTTTGTAATACATATTTTTGAAATGTAAAAGAAAATGGTGTCCATAATCTAAAATCAAATAAAATTGATTGAAATATTTCATACGTTTCAATATCTTTTTCAAAATATTCTGCTAATTTTTGAAATTGATCAAATATTGCAGGAATAACAAAAACTGGAGTAGAATGTGAAATAATAGATTCTAATAATAAAGCTCCTTTAATATTAATAAAATCTTCTTTCATTTCTTGTGAACCAATAACACATCTTGATATAAAAGATAATAATAAAAATACTGGATTATTTGCTCTTGCATTTAATTTAAATATATCTATAAATTGAGTACGTTCTAATGACCTAACAAAATAAAAAAATCTTGGAAGAAAATTAGATTGATGTAATGAATTTTGTAATGATTGACAAATACATAATTTAATATTATTACCACTAATAGTTTGTAATGTTTTAGAATTTTTATAAAATATTAAATATTTATTATTAGTAATAGTAGTAGTAATATCATTATTACTATTATTCTCTTTTACTATATTTAATGGTGAAATATAAAATATTCTTTTATTTGTTTGTAAATGTTCTAAAATATCAAATCCTTGTGTTTGAGTAAGTAATATATCAATTGGATTAAGACATATTGAATAAATACTAAAAAATGAAAATTCACCATAAAATGGGAATTTTGATTTAAATGAAGTTCCAATATAATTTTTATTACTATTTAAGTAATTATCTTTAAGTTTATATTCAATATTTTGTTCAAATAAAGGATTAATTGAATTATTATAAATAATTAAATGAATAATAGGAAGAGTATTTTTTAATTCAAAATTAATAAATATTAAATACCATACTTTTGGATGAAGAATATAATTAAATGAAATTTTTAATTCATTTAAAGTATTTTCATTAAATACTAATAATAATGAATTATTCTCAAGATATAATGTTAATGAATTTCCTTCACCAATAAAATTAAAAATACATTGTTTTGATTCAGATTCTAATGAATATGAAAAACAAAAAACAATTGTTGTTGATTTAAATTGTATTGTTAAAGGTTGAGAATATATTAATGGTGATCCAATAAAATGAATTGAATATGTAGGTTTTTGTAATTGACTTGATAATAATTTATATATTAATTTAATAATTGTATTTTTTCCTTTTCCTTCTTCCAATGCTTTAGTTAATTGTTTTCCAGCTTGAGGTGGTGAAGAATATAATAAAATAATTTCTAATAATTGTTGTAATTGTTCAGTAATAAGTGATTGATCATTTTGAGTAATTAAATTAATAATTTGACAACTACAATATTTAGAAACATAATACAAATTTAAATTAAATGAAATAAATAATTTTTCTATTGATAAAAAAAGGTCTAACGGACATATTTTTAAAGACATGAAATTAATAATAACTGGTAATAATTTTGGATAATGAATTATTGAAACATTATCAATTTTATACATTTCATTTATACTACTTGAACTAATTGATTGAATAAGTTCTTTAATAATAAGAATATAAAATTGTTTTAATTCTATTAATTTATTACTAAATTCATTAATAAAAGAATTAAATACTTTTTTATTGCTTTTATTTTTCCATGTAACTCTTAATAATTTAAAAATAAGTTGAATATATTCTTCATCAAAAGATAATGAAATTAATGATATTACTACATTATAAAAATCTTCTTTTACTTTTGGTATTTCCTCTCCATTAAACACATTATTTATAAGAATTATAAGAGCTTTTTTTGCTATTTCATTATTATTTTTACTTGCAATATTAACAAATGTCATATATTCAAATAATCCATTTTCTGTTGTTGAATGAAGATAAAATGTTGCTAATTGAAGAAAAGATTCTGTAATTTCTTTTAATTCTATTTGAGTTATTAATTTAAATACTTCTTCTCTTAATTTTATATTTGAAGAAATTAATGCTGAATGTAAAGGTTCATTAATTGAATTTAATATTAATTTTGAATACCATGGCATTTTAATAAATTGAATTAATAAAGGATTTAATAAATATTCCAATAGATTTATTGGTAATAATAATTTTTGTCTTCCTTGAAATAATAATAATGAATGACAAAATTCATTAAATACTTTATTACATTCATTAATTTGTTCACATTGAATAAATATTTTTAACATATGAATAAATAATGGTAATGACTCTAAATCTAATCTTATTGGTTCTATAAATTTTTCATATGAAACTATTTCTTTTAATATTGAATTTCTTTTTAATATAAAATTAAAAAATTCAATGTATTTATGTTGAACAATTCCTCTATATCTAAATAATTCATTTCTTCCAATCATTGTAAATAACATCATTGCTAATCCACATTGATATTCATAAAATATTACATCATCCATTTCTGCATATTCTTCTAACACTCCAAACTTATTTAATATTTCCTCAAAAAAATTACATGAATTATCATTTTGAATTACTTGAGATGTATAAATATTCATAACAATTCCATTAATTATTGTTGCTTCTTCTCGTTTATTTCTATTTAAAATAAACGTTAAGAATTTATTAAATATTTCTATATTTTCTTCATTATTTATTTTATATAATTTAGCCCCTTTTACTGCTCCACAAATCCAACTAATACTTAATTTATTCTTAATATTATTTATATTTTCTTTTCCATTAAATTTCATAAAATCATTAATGGATTTAATAACCATATTCATTACTAATTTCATTCCATTCTCATTTTCTCTATAATGACTTAAAATTTCAGAGTCTGATAATAATTTATTTACTACACTTAAATATTTATCTCCTTCATTTAAACATTTATTTATTATTATTTCTATTTCGTTTTGGTTTGTTAAGTTTGGATTCTTTCCATTTATTTCAATCTTTTCTATCATTGAAATTTCTTCTTCTGTAAACACTTTCTTCTCTTCACTCATTTCGTTTTTCTTTCTTTTTTTTTCTATTTTCAAGATTATTAGATAAAAATCTTTATAACTTTTCTTTAGTTTGTTTTTGTTTTTTTTTCAATACTTTCAATCAGTAAAAATCTATTAATTTTTCGGTTTTAATTTGCATTATTAAAGAAATTATTAAATTTTTGTAATATATAACGAAATAATTCATTATTT